TGTAAATAATATTAAAGATGAATAACAGTGATAGAAGCATTAAGCACATATACTATTCTTTTTAGATGTGTTAGTAATTAGCAACTTAAAAACTGATTTTTATTCTTCAGCAGTAAAATTCCTTAAAAAAGAACAATCTTTGATAAAAAAGTTAGAAACACAAACCTACAATCCTTCAGGGAATGTGGTTAAAAAAAATGTAATAAACTGTTTTTTTGTCAAAATAAATCATCAAATCTGTTTTTTTATTCAATCTAACCATTTATGTTCTAATCGCTAAACCCACTAAATTATGGTAGGTAATAGATTTTAAAGAACAAAAAATTCTGTAAAAATGTTTGTCACTTAGTTAAGTTTTGAATATTCAAGAATTACGTCTATGAAGTTTCATGGTTTCAGACTAGGGACCTGTATATGTTCTATTTCATAGGTAAAGCTTATATGTGACTTTTCAAATGACATATTTATTTCTCTCAATATATTTGTTTTGTACATTTTCTTATGTATTTTTCTACAATTTCTTTGAAAATTTTGGACTGGATCGCTGACCATATTGACCATTGGCCTCAGATATTCATGAAATTTTCTGAAAAATAACAGAAAAAGATATGCACATTTATTTTGTGATTAATAACAATACTAAACTTTTGTTATGTGTACAGGGAACTTGAAGAGGAGTGCGCCCTCACTGTTGACCGACTTGAAAAGATTGGTGTCGTTGATCAGGAATTTGTAAATGATCCTGTCGTTTTGGAGATTCATATTTTTAAAGCCGACAATTACCATGGAAATCCTGCTGAATCAGAAGGTAAAATTGGCTTGACAAAAAATATTGGATCATCTGATTATGAAGTGTATGTTAAAGTGGGAACTGTTATTATCATAATTGTGTGTATTTGTGCGATGAATGTTAACATAGCGTTCACAGCGCAATCAGTATGAAAAAACACTCACATGTACAGTACTGAGTGACCTTTCAACACCTTTTTAAAACTAGATTCAACTTTCCACAAGATGAACCTGCATGATTTTTTTTCCAAATTTTGCACAAGACTGTTAATTGCAATTGGTTAATTAAGTAAATTTGGTCCTACATTAACAAAGAAATTATAGAAAAAAATTGCAAAATGTTGCACACAAATTTGGTAGGAAAAATTGTGTCCTTCAAAGGGTTGAGGTGAAAGTCATATCATTGTATTGAAACAAACAATGTTCTGTGATATAAATTAAAAAAAATTTTCGTTTTCCAAAAATTTATACTTATTTTTAATATGAGCTTTTCTCCCAAAACTTGATTTTTGCTCAAATACCCCTATTAAATCAAATCACTAACTTAAAACTGGGTACAACTGGTGCATAAAGACTTAGTTGGGTTTTATTCTGCTTATTTTGCCAAATTAAAACTCAGTGAATACTCAAAACTTAAATATATAATGTAGTGTTTCCATCAAATACTGTCATTATAAATAATGTTCTGTAATCACATTCATTCTGAAGGGTAATTTAAAAATGATCCATTTCATGTCTGCAGAAACTGTTCTACGTTAATTACACATACTAAGCCAGTCAGCAATTTAACTGGAAATGTTGCTGTTTTGGTGTGGGAAACAATATGGCAATGAAAAGAATACAGTGAAAAAACACAGTTTTATTAGCTCCCGTGAAACGGAGCTTTTGTGGTACCGGTGTCTGTGACTCTGTGACTAAAATTTGTTCCACTGATAACTCAAGATCTACAATTTCAATTCTAATATATGATGAGTAGATGCGCTGATTAGATTTTGGTGCAATTCCATGCATATTAATTAGTCAATTATTGCATTAATTAGTCCCCCGACGCAGTATCTGTATCATAGAAATGCCTGGACCAATCATAATCAAACTTCACACATACATCATACATGATATTATACATATGCACATCAATTTGTTTCACGATCTGATTGAAGATGGTCGAATGGCGGCCATTTTTGTGCTAAAAATCATCAAAATCAACATTTCTTGGCTGTTTACAGATGGATTTTGTTCAAACTTGGTATATACATTAGACATTATAAGACCTTGATGCACATCATTTTGTTTTACAATCTGATTCAAGATGGCTGAATGGCGGCCATTTTTGTGTTAAAAAATCTTAAAAATCAAGCATTTCTTGGCTATTTACAGATGGATTTTGTTCAAACTTGGTAAATAATTTTGTTTTTCAGATAAGATTTCAAAATGGCCGACTGGCAGCCATTTTGTTTTAATGAATGTGGTTCTCATGCCATATCTCTGACTTTTGACTGATTATATTCAAATTTTAAATATTCATTATACATCATGTCATAAATAAACAGATATATTGGTTTGACGATCCTATTCAAAATGGCAGAATGGTGGTCATTTTTGTGCTAAAAAATCATTAAATATCAAGCATTTCTGGCATTTATGGATGGATTTCGTTCAAACTTGGTACATACATTAGACATTACGGGTTCCTGATGCACGTCATTTTATTTTTCAGATTGGATTCAAAATGGCTGACTGGTGGCCATTTTGTTTTAATGATTGGGCTTCTAGAGCCATATCTCTGAAATGCTTTGACTGATTATATTCAAATTTTATATATTCGTTATACATCACGTTATATATATACATGTATCAAAATGGCTGATTTTGAATGCTGTTCCAGAGCAATATCTCTCAATATGGACAAGTACTTGTTTGACGATCAGATACAAATGTCAATTTTAATGTTAAAAAATCATATTCCTGACATGGTTATATTCCAGCCATATTACTATAAACAAAACTATTTATCTTAAATTTGATAACCAACGGGGACTGTGCCATGCATGGCTTGTTAATTTATAACTTAGAGTCTTTAAAGTTTCTTAACAAATATTTGACTAGGGTGAGTAGCCTAATTTGCATATTGCAATAACTTATTCTGTCGCAAAAAAAAACTGATAATATTTCATTGGAAAGTCTGCAAATTTGCGAATTTTAGTATATAATGATTTATTATATCATGATGGATACAGTGAATAAAAACATCAAATGTATGCGAGTATGGGGAGTATGCATGTGCAGTTACAAGAGTGACGCGGCCATTTTTTCAGTTTGACGAAAAGGCAGTACCCTTTCCGATTTTCATGATTGCAAGTTCAATTTCACTTTGTGCGTCATATTCATCAATAGACAAAATCGAAGACAGATGTCGTACAACTTTCTGCCAATCTTGATTCGTAAATGTGCTGGTTACATGTACAGTGTATACCTTGGGCCTGCGTCGCTTAGACAATAGCCGCATAACTTTCATTTCGCCCCGATTCTGCAGTGTTCTCATCAGGTCTTTTAAGGGTATCGGGTCCGATACTGTTCTTTCTTTCCTGGATACTGTTTCCCTCAAGCTGGGCCGTTTCCAGGCCATTGTTTTGCAATGATGAATCAGAACAGAACAATTCGTGTGAACTGATCGATCCTAACTTATTATCTGGATACTCATATTCACCTGCGGATACTTCGGCCTACTTTCAAGCATGAATATAGAAGGAAATCAACGATTTTTTTTCAGTATCGTTCCAGACTTTGCAAGAAATTTATATAATAATCACAGTGATCACTACTATTGGGTTCAAAAATAGTGGCCATTACTGTTGGTTCAACCCAGTACTGACCTTCACCGCTATTGCGACGCCATGAGCAGAGAAAAGGAAAGCTGAATCCCCGCGTCTACACTTAATCCATGTATAAGGCAGACACCTGACAGCAACAGCAAGGAAGTTTGTCAGTTTTATTCAAGATATAAATTTTCTATTTTACGCATTGAAGCTATACAACGTGACCGAAAGCACTTCCAATGTGATCTAATTTGTAAACAATCTCTTTGCACACAACTCCAAGTGAAATTAAGTCGCATTGGGAAAAAAAACCATAAGAAAATCAAAGCAAAAATTATTCAACTGCAGACGAGACAAACCCTGACCTCTAGAAATACCTCATTCATAGAGTGCCTCATTAGTGCCCTTTGTTTACAAGTATAGTGTCCTTGCATGTTTTTCAAAATGCCCATATCAAAATAATATACAGTATGTCATAGATTCTCAGACATCTTGATCAATTTTATTGATGGATTGACCTACATGCAATTACATTCACTTATTAGGCAGAGCCTATACCTTTATAATACATGCTCTGATCACACGGGAGCTATTTACAGTTTAACTTTGATTTTTGTTCTATTCAGAAATGAAACCTAAATGGTTCAGCGCGGAAGACATACCGTTCGATAAGATGTGGGCCGATGATAAATACTGGATGCCGTATTTATTGAAGAACGTACGTTTCTATGGTTACTATCTCTTTGAAGGGTTTCACACTATTATAAAACAGAAATTGGTGAAAATAGACGACGTTGGAGAATCAGTCAAGAGTTTGTTGCATATGTACAGAGGAAAGGTTTAAGGTCAAAGTTTAAGTTTGTTATTTTAATTACCGTACTGAAAGATCAACCTAATTGTTTTAAGTGGAAGTGAAAGAGAGTGAAAGTGAGAATGCCGTTCAGTGAATACTTTGTTTACCATAGCCAGCGTCGCAGCACCCAAAGTGTGTGCATATATTATTTGTCATCGCCATGGCATTGTAGTTCAATGATACAAGAAATGAATGAATATGATACAGCAAATCTGCATTTCAGATGAACACTATTGTTGAAATAAACATAATTCAAAGAAATGGTCAATGCAACATCCCTTTGTGACACGTTCCGTTATTTTGTCGTTACGGAATGCGGCTGCTATATACAGTATTGCGTCTGGGGATTAGTGTTATCAGCTTGTAAATAAACTACAAGGGTTTCTGTAAATATAGGCTATGCAGGTGATTAACTGCGTAATTAGCATAGCCACACCTCCAATAAACAATAAACACGTAAGGTCACAGTCAATGATACAGTACTAGCCCGAATATGATACTAAGTTACTTGTATCTGTAACGACAAATCGGCTGTGATTGAGCAGTTTCACTGAGGTATGAGTTTGTCTTACATTGATAAATGAGATGAGAATAATCTACTTGACACTACCAAGTGTAAGAACGTCAAACAAGCGACCTATAGTGGTCAAATATCTCCACTGTATCTGTAGAGTGTCTTCCTCAAAAAAAAGTTCTGTTCTGTACGATGAGATATTAACTATTTGCCATGTGTTATTAGTGTTCCCACAATGTTCTTGCCATATCACAACCATGATAGTTTATTTGGTTGTTGCCATGGCAATTACAATTGTTATCTTGTTACAAATCTCATGGAGGTCAAACCTATAGGATCCTCGATCTAAGTACCAAAGCAATTGAGCTGGTAGTTTTCAAGAAAAATTACCAAATATTGGCCAAATAATAGAGATTTGAAGATATCTTTATAAAATGTACAAATCTGATAGAGGTACACCAAAGGTACCTACATATCAAGTATCAGGGTAATTGAGGTCATTGTTTTCAAGAAGAAGATGAAAGTGTAATTGTTGATGAACAGACGTACTGTACAGATGTACGACGATGGACAATCATCTACATGAACTGCTCCGCTCTGTCATTTACAATGACAAGTGGAGCTAAAAATGAGCAATGTGCACATTCGTGTGCCAAGCTCATGTTGAACAGTGCCCTCTATTGTCAACTAAAGCAATCTCTGATTGAAAATAAGTAAAGAAAATGTTGCTCACTTCACAATCTAGGTATGTTTCTTCCTCAAAATGACTAGCTCAAGAACATTCTGGTTTATTCAGTCTCTCCCCAAAATGTGCTCATGCAAAAAAATGTTCCAAGTCTTTGTATGTGCAAATGTAAAATGGAACCTTGTCGGTACCAGAAGCTCTGATACAGATCATTATGAAAAAAAAGAAAGAACCATAGACATGTCATTTTCACTAGATGTATTTTTTATTGCCCACACCCTATACAATAATAGTTGAAAACGATTTGAGAAAGATAACCAAACACGTTAGTACTGTACACAAAAGTAAGCAAGTCAAACCTGAATAAAGATGAAATGTGTTTTTTTTTTTTTGCAGATCAAACTTTCCTGTTTTAAATATTTGTGTATTCTTTTATATATTGAAATCTATTATGAGGTACAATATGTTTATAAGTTAACCATCTGATTTGTAATGCTGTATTTATTATATGATTAGTGTATGTTCAAAATAAATACAATGTTTGTTTTGTGTAAACTTTACTTGGAGATGTGTTTCTAATAGAGAAAATATGGTAGTGACAATCTGAGAGGATCCAATTGCTGCTGTTATGGCTAGGAAAAGCCAGATATGTGGGCAATTACAATATTAATTGTTTTTGATATCTGATGCTCATTTAGATTTGAACATCGTACTGCCATGCAACGTGGTCTCACTTCGTTATTATTTATGGTCCTAGGTATGAAACTTTCTTAATAATATCACTATTGTCGAGATAACTACAGTGTTTCTATGACAACAGGAAAGTCAAAGCATACATTGATCATTATTTGTTTTGTTTGAATTGTAAACGTAAAAAATAGAAATAATTATAATTTGAAAAGAAGATCCCAGTAGGTAAAATAAAGTACTGGTAAATGGATATTTATTTTTTTGTATTATTATTCAAGCTTGTAAATAGTTAATGGCAAGCTACATGATCAACTTAACAACTTTAGTATACTTGTTTGATGATTGGTCAGATTTTTTGAATATTAATCAGCTCAATCCAATTAATTTGCATAATTTGTTCCTGTTTACAACCAGAAATAGTGTACACTTTTCTTTTCAAAAAAACAGAATAGATTTTTCTTTCATACAAAAATTGATGTCAGTTTTGTAACACCGCAAGGCTAAGCCACGTGCCAACCAACCAGGCAACCCGGCTTGTTGTCCAACTGTCCACACATCATACAGGTCTGTTGAGAGAATTGACATTATTTAGTGTATTGCATGATGGCTATTTTGTCAAAATTTAGTCAAATATGTGGTTTAACTATAGAAAATAAAAGTTATGAAACTTGAAATAAAGTTTACTTACTCCCTATATCAGTTTATATATTCCAGTCCAGGAGATGTAAGTTATGAAATAAAAGAAAATAACATTGACTTAAAGACATGAATTTATAAATGGTCTTTAAAAGTATTACTAGTATTTCATGAGTTTATTTATCATAGTTACTGAATTGTTTACTCACCCCCTGTTATGTGATCAATTAGTGATGACAGGAACAAAGGATAAAGAAAAAAAAAAGGTTTTATGTCAGCTATATTGACGAAAAACATAATGTGTGTGTAGTAGCGCCCTCTTACGTTGATATAAAATTCATCTTTCTTTTTACACAGGCAGTTTGTTACTGAATACGAACTGTACAACTAATTAATCATCCGAGTAATGGTCGCTCTGTAATAATATATTGATAATAATATGGGTCGCGGATTTAGTCTTTCTGTTCAGATGTTTAGTGGTAGTGTCGAGAACATAGTATAGCGCCCTCACGCGATATCACAAACCACAAAACGGTAACGAGATACTTACGAATAACTGTAACTGTGAGTGGGACATGAAAAGAAACAAAAACACTGACGTCATTACAAATATTTATACCGAACAAATAGAAAGCCTGTCCACAAATTCCGGAATTCAAATGCCAAAAAACGTTTTCAATTCAACCTTAAAATAGTTACGAGCAAATTTCAACGAAGTGTTCAAATGCATTGAAAGTGGTTACAATACTTATGTAAGCAATTACTCCTTTGATAATAAGGTATGTTTCAGATCGACGATTCGGGTCTAAATAACCGTGTCGGTTGCCATCGCAGTATTCTATACCCTATTGTACGCTATGTTTACGCTGATTTCCAACGCGTATTTCGACTGTGACGGCACCTGCGTGCACGGTAAATACGGACATGCATCGGAAGAATATGCTGTTACTTACGATCTGTGAAATCAGGTGTAATCAGCCAGGTAACACATGTGAATAAAAAAATAGATGGTTAGAATCATGTATTTATTTAGGGGCAAGCCAATAACGTTTGTGGGTAACTAGTATTACAAGTATTATTACGTTTTCAAAAAACGACAGCCTACACGTCACTAAGATCATATTGTACTACTATATATACTGAAATTGTACAAGGTCACGCGCTTGGCAAACACTTTTTATTTGTGTTTACTTCCGTTATTGTCATATTTTTATATATTTTTTTTTGGAAACAGAACAATCTTCTTCTAGGCCTTGACCCCTTTCCATGCAGAAATGAGTACCCTTATATAACATTTATCGGTAAATACTGACTTTAATAGGTTGTTTGTTTTGGTTACGATTTTTTTAAAAACCTTAAAAGGCTTGGACATTTTGTTAAAGATATATCACTGTTAATACTGAATAACAAACATGTGGACTTCTTTTCAAACAGTTTCAAGGGTCATTTTGGGTAACTTCTGTGTAAAAAAAATGTCCCATTTGGCGGCACATCGATATAATACAGTTGGAAACACCCCAGGGCATATGTACGACGTGTTGTACTCACCGGCTGTAGGTTGTACATTTCATCAGGATGACGTCACAAATGTTGTTGAGTGAAGGACAACAGCGTGCAGGAGAAAGAAGAAAAAACAATTATTAAGATTAAGGAATGAGAAAATATCGTGTGGGTGGTTTTATTTATAGTTATCAATTTCCTTTGAAGATATTAGTCATTATGATTACGATTTTGGTTATTCCGTCAGATTTCATATGATGAGAAATAATTCTTAGATTTGGCTGTACTTGTCATCGTGGGGCATACTACCCGCGGGCGACGACTCGCCAACATGTCGGTAAAGAGCAGGAGCAAGAGTTGGGTATGGAAAATCCCCCCCCCCCCCCGTTCGGGATCGAGTCGAATGCACAACATTGTTCGTGTTCCTTTCAGCGGTGTATTTGAAGCACATCTAAGTTCAAACATATCGAATATGAACGAAAATTAATCATTTAATCGATCAATGCATTCTCGTGATATGTATGTCACATTACTTATTTAAAGCGTCTCAGTAGACGAGTATACGCTGCATGGACCCACATCGACAAGACGCGTCGCGGCGACTGAGACGCTCAATATAACGTCAAAAATGGATTTGTTTCGGTTTTGAGTCTCAAATGACTACGTAATTTAATCAGCCTGATAATATATGTATGACTGCCGTATTTTTTAACCCAAACTCACAATTGTTGCAATGATACGCGATACTTAAGCGTAATACTCCCAGCACAACAAAGGCATTCCCTTCATCTTTATAAATATTCATAAAACGAGAGGATGCTAATGAATAACATTTGAACGTTTCAAATGAGGGCGTTGCGCACTGTGTTGTTGATTGGATACTGGGATTGGCAGTTGTCATTGAAATTTATAAATATTTATAAAGATGAAGGAAATGTCTTTGTAGCACTGCGAGTATACATGCGTTTAAATTGTCGTGGAGATGCCGGGATATAAAAAACGGCTTTTATTTTAATCTGGTCCGCTTCTGTGATTGATAACCCCCACCCCCACCCTACCGCCACCGCCATGTAGTCTGTATCCTTGCCTGCTGGCTTTCTGTCACAGTGACGGTGACATACTCTCACACTAATCACACGCTCGTTACCTCGGAACGTGCACAGACACGTTGTAGTGCCCCAAGCTAATTGTGTCAAATATTCGTTCTCAAACGGCGGTACTTCAAAATCAGTAACAACACCGGAGACTGTCTTCGCATGTCCCGATTGTGTTTTGCGAGTATTCGTCACAGGACGTTAATGTCTACTCGAGACCACTCGTGAAATATAAACATTACAAATGTCGACGGCCTCTTTTTGAAGCACTGTGAGTACGCGCCCAATCGCCCTCGAACTCGATAAATGCAACCAACATGAAAGCTGCCGGCCCAAAACGAGATCGCTCTGGGGCAGAGCTCGGCGATTGGTTGTTGCGAACAGTTAAGGGTGATAGGCTGAGTCTACACCGTGATCGAAAAAGCCTAGGGAGGATTTAGTTTCCCTTAGTAACACGTAAACAAACTGGCTCCAAGCTATGCAGAATGTTTGTCATTTTGTCGAATTGTATGTACGGATTTTCTCTCAATTGGGGCGGCAAAATGCGAACACTGTTCTTTGCTTGTTCCACACATTCAGTGGGGTTGTCGACATTTAATTCAATCGCCGCAAAGATGCGTCTGTGATCCAAGACGAATATATATACATGTATGACCGACAATTATGACAGGAAGCTGAGAGACATCATCGGGCGGGGTTACAACTCCACAGTCACAATAATACAACTGAGACCTCATTGCAAAGGTCACAGGAGAGTGCAAGCGACACCTACTTATAAGGACAATAATGCATGAGAACACCTATATGAATTTTAATAAATGCCGCGTTGGGAATTGACATAAGTAGGGCATAATCATCATTGTGCACAAACTGTGAATTGAGATCTTTCAACGCGAGAACACTGAAGCATTGGAAAACACGCCATTTGTGAAGTGTTTTATCAATGTAAAGCAGCCTTGGTCGTATCTGAAGTTGGCTTTGTTGATGATTTAAAAGAGAGAATCGTGTATGAATGTCCCGAAATTTATTCTCTATGCTGAAATCTAATCGTCCGCTTGAATGGAAATTGTTGTTGATTTTAATAATGTCATCTCCCTTGAACCAGTACGCACCCATTGTCATAGGATGGTACTCTCTGTCCACGGCTACGGTTAATTTAGGGATATATTGCACGTAAAACGGTACTCTTTGGAGAAGACCCGCAATCTAGCCCAAACAGGCTGCGAATGTTTATGCGAATTTAAATTGTTGCAGTGGACTTTTCCCTAATATGACCGTCTGGCATCGTCGAAGGATAAGTCTTAATAGTAGTTGAGTTCCATTGCTATTTTCCTGTTAAATTTGCAAAGAATCAAAAGTTTCAATTCAAAACCATATATACATTCCCTATTACTATATGAAGCCCAGTGTCGTCCATGCGTTGGATGACCTCACGGTGATCTGTAAGCTGGCAAGTGTTGCGCTAACTTATTCTAGCGAGTATGCCTGAGATCATAAGGCTCCTCTGAAGATAACCCTTAATACTTACACCTCTGTGCCATGAGCATGCCTTCTCGTGATTTTTCGACTGTTTGAACGTTCTTCTGCATCTTCTGCACGTCAGTGGGTGATCAGCTGCCCTGGATGGTGACGGGACCGGTAGACGGCCAATACTACGTGCACTCTGGGTTTGTCTCACAAGAACAGGCATCACATGACTGTTCTCCGACTGTGCTGACGTCGTCGTTCGTGGGGTGCTAAACGCGCTCTGTGAACGCTCTGACTCAAATTCGCCGTTTGTAATTGCCAATGTTCCACTAGACCCATAGCTAAACTCGCTTCCATACTCCGAACACCCCCTGGATTCGATCCGAGTTCTTTCCACTCGATCTAAATCTCGTTCCAATGCAAAACTATCAAATTTAAGCTCCAACTGATGAGCTTTCACGTCTTTCCTGGATGCTATCTCGCTCCTCACTTTCTCGTTTGCTAGTTTTTTATCCATGCATTTTCGCTTCTTTTGATGGGTGAACAGCAGACACCGGTAAGTCCGGTGACCACATGCCTCGCACATGGCGTACCTGTAATCACAGGCTCTCACGTGGTCCGCGAGGTCTTTTCTTGGAACGCGGAATTTACACCCTCTCCGGGTGTATGTGCAGTTCACGTACGTGAGATCACACTCCTTTTCAATGTGACCCGGTAGTTCCTTTAGCTTGCACGTAGTGCCACAATTCTGGTTGCAGACTATTTCCAAAGAGAACAGTTTGTCTTGGAGTTCACGCGATGGCTTAGAAAGGTTCTCCCTCAACGGCTCGTCGCATAACGGGCAAAACCGAGAACTTTCCGATTTGAATCTTTTGCGGATACACGCAAAGCAATAGGTATGTTTGCAGTTGTCGCGATTGGAGACAGGATCCACGTAGACGCAATGACAGATCGGACAAAGTAGCTCGGACTCAACATCACTCACAAATCGCTCGACTTCGAGACCCATGTCGGCGAGATACTTCAAACCTCTTACCTGCGAGAATAAAATAAGAAAACAATTGATATTCTTAAGATCTATTTTCGAAATCGGGCTTCAAATATCGTACAATGTGTTCATACGAGTCGTTGCCCTTGCAACGGATAAACAATGTAAAAAAAATGGGCAATACGGTACATCCCGTCACTCTCAACCCTTTTACCCCATACATAAATGTAAATGAATTATGGTTACCCCATTACCGATCAAAGACGGCCTTAATTTAGAAGACAACCTCCAGGCTACTGGTTTCATTCAGGCAGACAGACACCGCGTGTTATGCAGATCACCGCGGAGATATCGTACCGGTAGTATCTAGACAGTGTGCCAATGACGCTTGATTGCTAATAATAATAGTCGACTATTGATATATAACTGCACATGCGCTCTTCATTGAACGATGCTAGAAGAATGGATGACTTGATTTAGGTAATTTTAATAATGCGCTAGATGACAGTTCTGAACATTGGATGCCACTACTGACACATGTTAAAGCGCGGTGGTCGTCGCGCAGCGCGTGTTCGAATTTCATGTAAATAAACAATGTATTTTACACGCGTTGTATACGTTGCTATGAGTCCCATATCAAACAGGACGCGGTACGACGACTACCGCCCTTTAAATACGAATTTCACGCCGCAATGTTAACCATGTATTGGGTGATTGAATTCATAATTGGGAATATAAGATGACAGGGTGGTATTGATGGCTATCACAATGCGCTAGATGTGCGTCGATCGAACAGGCCCGACCAAATTAGGCACCCCACCCCCACCACCACCACCACCAGCACACAATACATTGTCGTACCCGTCAGTGAATAACATTCGACCAGTGGGGGGTCTTTTCATTTAAATCTTAAACTCATACCCATCCAGGGACTGTATACAAATTTTTAGTTTGGAAAATTACAATGTGAATTCACGTTGCGTACTAATTAATGGTAGAACAAGAAAATATACAGAAAAGCACAAGCAAAAAGATTCATTGTTTAATAACAATCCGTCATGTCTCGTTGTTAGGCACGTACACAGTGCACCAGACTAGTCACCGTGTTATTTTATTACGGCTTCAGCCTGGATTAGCGGCTCCATTGAGACGTGCCCCGG